GTGCGGTGTGGTGCGGTGCAGGGCAATGCAGTGCAGTGCGGTGCGGTGCGGTGCAGGGCAATGCAGTACAGTGCAGGGCCGTGCGGTGCGGTGCGGTGCAGGGCAATGCAGTACAGTGCAGGGCCGTGCGGTGCGGTGCGGTGCAGGGCAATGCAGTACAGTGCAGGGCCGTGCGGTGCGGTGCGGTGCAGGGCAATGCAGTACCGTGCAGTACGGTGCGGTGCGGTGCAGGGCAATGCAGGGCAGGGCAGGGCAGGGGGTGCGCAGGCCAGGGCGATGCAGCGATGGGAGGCAGTGTGGGGACGGGGCCGTGCAGTGCAGTGCCGAGCTGGGGGAGCACGATGCAGTGCGATGCAGTGCCGGGATGGGGCTGCGTGGCACGGCGCAGTGCTGGGGTGTACAGTGCAGGGGCAAGGCTGCGCGGCGCACCGCTGTGTCACGCACGGGTTGTGCAGTGCAGCGGGGTGCGGTGCGGGGGCTGTGCGGTGCGATGCAGCGCAGGGCCTGGGCAACGCGCTACGGAGCAGGATGGGGCTGGGCTGGGCCGTGCAGCACCCTCGCACACCCCTGCCCTCAGCCTCCATTCCCAAACTGCTTCTCCATCCATCAGCCTCCAGCAGATCAGGAATAACCAGTGCATGATGACAAGAGCCCCCCGCCCAGCAGCGTCCCCCCTCCCGCTCCCCCACCACACATCCCAACCCAGCCTCAGATCCCCCACAGCAGGATGGGACCCACCTTGCCCAGCACCCCAGAATCCCCCAAAGAGCAGGCAGCAGGCGTGAATCCGAGTCGTTTAATCTGGCCCTGGCCCAGGAGATCCACAGCCCCCCTGGGCCAGGGCACCCAAGGGTGCCAGGGTGCCGTGCAGGCACATCCAGGCTCTCACTGGCTGGAGCCAGGGGAGAGCAGGAACATCTCCTGGTGCAGGGAAGGGGCTGGGGGCCCACGGCTCCCCCTCCACTGCACGGGGCACAGCCTGGGCCAGCAGCATCCCGGCGGGTGGCAGCATCCCTGATGTCCCTGGTCCCTTAGGAGCACTTGAGGATGAACAAGTTGCAGGCGGTGCCGCGGGGGCAGCTGCAGAGCTTCCCAATGCGTGCCCCCTTCCGCACCGCGCACGGCTCCCCGGGCTCGCACTGCGGGATGGCATCCATCAGCCCCGGGGCTCGGCCA